ACATACATACATACATACATACATACATACATACATACATACATACATACATACATACATACATACATACATACATGCATGCATGCATGCATGCAGACAGACAGACAGACAGACAGACAGACAGACAGACAGACAGACAGACAGACAGACAGACATAGAATGGACCTCTTATGTCCAGGGAAAGAAAACCCTGGATCCAACCCCAAATTAAGCAGTATGTATGACCATTTGGAACTTCATTGAAACATACTCTTCCATTGCTTTGCTAATTTGACACATGTGGCAAGAGAAAAGTATATTTGATGCTGCTGGGTAGCTCAGTGGTTTAGCTATCTGGCTGCAGTCTGGAAGTTTGATTTCCCACTATGATGATTTTAGCTCTTATATGAACATACTCAAACATCATTTCATACTTGCCCCCCTCCTTGAAGTCCTTGATTTGAAACACTTCTCTTTGTTTCTGAAAGATTTCAAGGTGTGTTAAAAATGGGGAGATGCTCTTACTTTAGGGTTGCCTCTGGTATTCCTTTCCTCATTATATTCCGCTCAAAATCTATGCAGGGGGCAGGAGAGACTTGCATATTCAACTACTGAAGTTTATCTTCTGCTGTTTCTGAGCAAGTCTAGATAGGAACAGCTCTTCAGCATGCATGATAAATTTGTTTTAGTTTTTTAAAAACTGGGGGGGGAGCATTGATTCTATACTTCATGGGCACAAGAATCCAAAATTGCTCAAAGTTCCCATTAATGCTCTTTCCGCTGGGAAGCCTGAAAGGAGTGAAGTCGCTGCTCATGCAGGGGCTGACATAAAAGCAACAGAGGACGCCAAAATTACTTTTCTGAATTTCCTCTCACTGCAGTCATAATTGGGCACCCCGAGGTATTCAGTTCACAGTCACAATAATCACCATTTTATATCACCTAACTGACAGTCCAGCTGAGTTTGGGACTGATTTGTTACAAGTTTGTCAAGATAAAAATAAATGTTGTAAATTTTAATTTTTAAAAATTGTCATTATGGTCTGCTAAATCCTACGTGCATTAATAAGAAATAGACAATAAGCTTCCAGAAGGAAAGAAAATTTGCACCTTTATTGGCAGAGGACAGAAATGAGATGGCAGGTAAGTGTGTTTGTAACTTCTAATGATGCCACTTATTGCCAACTTGGTAGTGTTCACCAGAATTGCGTTCTCACTGGTAAAGCACGAACGTCAGTACTAATGTGCTTGCCTGTGATGAAGTTTAAGGTTTAAGGCAAAATAACTTCAATGCTTGGGGCTTCATCCTTTCAAGATGTTTTTATTTTATTTTAATTTTTAAAGGAACAGATGGAACAAAACATTATTTTATGGGGTGGATTGGGGACATCCCTGAGTCTTCTGCATGAGGATAATTTTCTTGATTAAAATATACCTTCAATGCTTTCCAAAGAGTGAAACCCAAAAGGAAAGGATGTTTAAAATCTATTTGCCAACTCAGTAGGCAAACCCAACTTGAATTGGTTCTGAAATTGCAAACACATGGTCCTCTCAGAAAAGCTTTCTACCAGTTAAATATGTGCTTACCATTAGAGATGGGCACAAACTTTGATTCAGAGGTATGTGCTGATTTGGCGCTACACGGGCTCAGGTGTTGTGCAGGTCCCTAGGCAATGTGCACTTTCCTCTTTGCTTCTTCCGAACAATTGCCCATTCACTATCCACAGCCGTGTTTCCCTCCTCTGCCTCCTCCAGCAGCCACCATCTCCTGGGCAGCACTGCAGGAATCCCTGCCCCACTTCCTCATCTGAGTCGGCGGCTGCGTGGCAGAGCAGAGGAGGGAAGCATAGCTGTAAATGGTGAGAGGGCAGTCACTCAAAGGAGGCAGGGAAAGGGATGTATGCAGTGCCTGCACAACACATGTGGCCATGACGCCAAACAAACCTCCAAACTGCTGGAGGAGGCAGAGGAGGGAAGCATAGCTGTAAATGGTGAGAGGGCAGTCACTCAAAGGAGGCAGGGAAAGGGATGTATGCAGTGCCTGCACAACACATGTGGCCATGACGCCAAACAGAACAAACCTCCAAACCGAGGTTCATGCCCATCTTATGGGGAAGAACGTGAGCTTGGTTTACTGAAAAATAACAAAGTAGTCCTGTTGTAATATGCAGAACTTTAAGGAAAAAACCCCTTCATATTGTAGATGTTTCTCCCAGTCCACTCTTCCTTCCTGCCTACCAACTTACTATAGATAAATATAATAGGAGAATGCATATGAATGCAATGTGTCCTTCTGGGGGGGGAATGGGTTTTTATATCATGGTGGGATTCTAGTTGTCTCGTACATTTGTGTAACATAGAGCTATGAAGACCAAGGCCTACTACCTTAAGATTTAGGTATAATTCACAAAAAACAGGCTTGTGTCTTTGTAGGAATGACATGTTCACCCTGGCCATTAAAGACCTGTTTCAGTTACAGTCACAATTATTTATGTTTGATTTTATTTAATTTATCCACCAAAATGTTGTAAACATGGGCTACACAGTTAAGTGTTCTACTAAAACACACAAAGAGAGAGGGAAAGAGAGAGAGAGAGAGATATGGCAATTCTTCCTGAGTCTGAATACATGGCAAATCTGCAGTTAAATTGGGGAGTGGTAGTACACCTCTTGTTTCTCTCCCAGCTCAATTTACTATACATTTGTGCTTGGAAAAATAACTCATAATCCCCACTGAATAACTCAGGTTGGAAGTCTGGGACCCCAAATAAGCACTGTTGAGTTGATAAAGTCTGTTATTTTAGCTAATTAAATGATTCAGCAGCTAATGATAACTATTCAGGAATACAATCTAATTAGGGATAATACCTCAATTTATTCCCTAGTAAGGAGGGAGGGAGGGAAGGTGAGTTTTTACACAAGAGATAGTTTGGAGCACCATTGACCTAAGTAGAACAGCAGTGCTGGGTAGGGGAGCTGGGGTGAAGGTGAGAGTAAATAGGCATAAGCCAATCTCCAAACCTGAGTATCTCCCAACTTCATAGTCTCCTGGGGACTTTTCAAACTAAAAGGCAGCCCCAAGGATATTTGCTCTGTTGGTTGGGCTTTGCCAGGCCCAAGGAACCACCACACTCCACAGTCTCAAAAAGCCATCATGGACTAAGGCAGATACTCTCTTAACCACCGAAAACTCCAGCTCTCTGGAAACTGCTCAGAATTTAGCTGACTCTCAAATTACAGACCAAGTTGGACCTTGGCGTTTCAGTTGAAGTTAAGTTCCTGATAACCCTTCAACTAAAGCCTAGTAATAAGCCGACAGGCACCACAACAGTTCCACAGACCATGCAAATTGATAAACATTATTGGAGTGTTTGGCCAAATGCATCAAAATATGTCAACATGACCTGAGCAAACATTTATCAGGCAGCAAAGTGTGAGATGCATTCTCCTATCTATGTAGTGGATAGATTACAAATATCCATGATCTTTCACTCTGTAAGTAGATGTAAGCAAAACTGATGCAAAAAGGAATACCTGCCCTACTATAGGGGGAAGGGATATGAGACGGGAAATGGAATCCTACTAAAACGCCACCGGCTTTTTCCTCTTACTTCCAGAGTTCTTTCTCTTTCTCTGCTATGTCTTTTTTTAAATTGTAAGCCTCAAAGCAAGAATCATCTTGTTTCATAGTCATTATGTTGAGATGCTGTAGAAAAACACATTTGCTCGAAGAATGGGACCACGATGCTTAGGATTAAGTTGCATAGAAGGAAGGATGCAGCCTGGGATTACATAGAGTTGCCTGCTGCTCTTACTCTTGCTTCCCCTTCCCCACAATGACTATGTCTTGTGATCAAGACCTGCAGGCCAAGCTGGTATCTCAGCACAGCCAACAAATCAGGCCCCGTGCTCTTCTCTGTACTTCTGCTGGGGCCAAGCAAAAGGCTTTTCATCAGAAAGAACACATTGGAAATATTCCACAGTCTGTATTGTGGTTAAACCTTTATATGGCCAATCAAAAACGGCAATAGAAGTGCAAGCTTTCAAGATCTTCAGATCTCTTCAGCAGAAAAAACTGTATAAATCCTGTGAGCTTTACCTAGAAAGTCAAAGTTAGGTATTTGTAGTTATTTACAGCTGAGAAAACAAAGACTTCTGACATGATGAAGATGCAAAAATTCACCAGGAAGAGCTAAGCTTTGTGGGAACTGCAAGGCACTAGGGTCTGGTAGTCTCTCTGCCCAGCATGCTTAGCCTCGAGAAAAGAAGACAGAGGGGTGATATGATAACAGTTTTCAAATACCTGAAAGACTGTCATACAGAGGATGGGCAGGATCTGTTCTCAATCATCCCAGAGTGAAGGAAAAACAACAATGGACTCAAGTTACAGGATTTCGGTTGAATATCGAGAAAAAGCATTAGAGCAGTAAGACAGTGGAACCAATTACCTTGAGAGGTGGTGAGTGCTCCAACACTGAAAGCATTCAAGAGAAATGCAGACAACCACCTGGCAGATACCCTTTGATTTGTATTCCTGCACTGAGCAGGAAGTTGGACTTGATGGCTTTATAGGCCCCTTTCAATTTCACTATTCTATCATTCTATGCTCTTGTACAGGGTGCCTCCCAAGAATATATGAGACTCCTAATGTCTTGTAACAATTACTGAACTCAATGTCCCCCCGTGACCTCCTCTCTGTTTTCATGTCTGAAAGAGGCCTTTATTCCTCTGCAAGTTATTACAAACACCTGTTTGTTTGGCTACAGTCCCCAGAATTTAAGCTGGAAGGAATTCCTGAAAGGAAAAGACCAGTTGCTTAACAGTAAATGTGGGCAACAATTGGATTAATTTCATACACGGACAAAGAGAAATTCTTTAAAAAAATCACTTTTATTTACACAATAGAAGATCTGCAGGACCTAAAGATGTTCATACTTGCAAGTGCATCAGTGATGAATTCAGTTGTGTATACTCAACAATGTAGGTGAGTCTGTATATGAGAGGACAGGGAAGGTGAAGCAGTTGGAAGATTTCACAGCTTGACTTAAGACAATGCTGGTCAGCCCCGACCGAGAAAATGCCACTGGTCAGCTAAGAGAAAAGAGACCAAATGCTATTCATTAGAAGAAACAAACATTATACGAGTAAAATGTAGGTCATTGTTGTCCTCAGTGTATACTCAGCATGGGTGTCTGCAAGGAGGCTATGCTGGAGTCCTAAATCAACTGATGCACATCCAACTGGGGCCTGTTCTCTGAATCTATCAAGGCTCCCCCTACCTGCCCAGCATACACAAAGCACTCAGTCTGAACAAACATTTCTGTAGTTCAAAATTTAAGAGACACACATTTTCACTTATAGTAGCTGATGTACAAAGTGGATGAGAGTGCAAAGAAATAAAATAAAACTTCTAGAATTCATTAATTTGGGTCTTATTCTTTGTACATTTATACTTTCATAGTTTATTTTTTATATTTTGTGTAAACTGCCCAGAGTAGACACATTCTAGATGGGTGGTATATAAGTTTAATAAAATAAAATAGAACTCTCGACCTTGAATAAAGACAGCCATATCCAACACACACCCTCCCACCCCAAAGATCACACTTCCCCTTTTTAGGGAAGGACAGCCAATGTCCAAAGGTTTGGGGGCTTATTTTCCACCTTAGGAAACACTAGAGGATGAACCCAATATTACTAAAAATCAAAACTACGTAATTCTGGGAATGTACCTCCTGGTTTGCCTTTGTAGATTTGCAGGTTTTTGTGGGGCGTGAATTCTGCACCCAGTGTATTGGAAAATTGTCATGTATTGGAAGTGTGAAAAAATAAGCTAGGGTTTCAGCTAACACTAAGGCCCAAGGAAAGGAGTAATGTTTTAACCATAACTAGCCTTGACTGTTGTGACCAATATGAATTTGACTCCGGGAGGCAGTGGAAGACAGGAGGGCCTGGTGTGCTCTGGTCCATGGGGTCACGAAGAGTTGGACATGACTTAACCACTAAACAACAACAGCTGTGACTGTACTCTGGCCCCCAGGAGGTCCTTTAAGATTGTGGTTTTGGCTACCTACACCCTGAACTACCAGGTGTACTGTAACTCCACATGACTCTGTTTTGTTGGTACTGGCGGCCCTCTGAGCTGCCTAAAAACCTCTTCTGGAGAGGGTGAAGAATAAATCCCCTTCTTGGCAATCCTGGTGGAAATAGTTCTGTCACCAGCAACCCCACAGCCTCTACAATGAAGGTTGAACTAAAAATTTTGCTTCTCAGCATGAGGTGCCACACTGCCATGTCTGATATGGTCATTCCCATCGCTAGACCACCTCTACTGATCCCACTAGCCTATTCAAGGTAAAAGCAATCAGCTTGGGAATCCACAGCATCCAGCAGGAAGCACAGCACATTATGTTGAAGAAGGTTAGGCTTACTACTCGGAATAGGATTTTTGTATTTCTTTGGAATACAGCCCCCAGAGGTATGTAGGAAACTGCCAATTATGCTCTGTGCAGGCAGCCTCTCACGAAACCACCAGACCTATAATGCCTTGAAGCTCCAACAAAGCTTAGAGCCCCCCCAATAGATTTTCTCCATTTATTATCCCGCCTATCTGGTCGTGTCAGGACCACTCTAGGCGTGTCAGGACCACTCATCATGTCTGAAAGAAGCCTTCATTCCGCAGTTGAAGTAATTACAAATACTGGCTAAAGTCCCAGAATTGTGGCCGGGAGAATTCCTGCAAGAACTCTGGGGCCTGCAGTCTAAAAAAATACAAAAATCCCATGCTTACTTACTATTATGCTAGCTCTTATTTGTGATGTCACAAAGAAGCCTGGAATACCTCTTTGTAAATGATTTTCTGGACGAAGAAATCATAGGATCATGCCTTAGGCTGCAATTCTTTACAGGCTTATGTGGGAGTAAATCCCATGGCACTCAATGGAGCTTACTTCTGAATAGGTAAGGTAAAGGTAAAGGTTCCCCAGTCGTGTCCGACTCTAGGACACGGTGCTCAGCCCCGTCCAAGCAGTAGAGCCAGCATTTGTCCACAGACAGTTTCCGTGGTCACGTGGCCAGTGCAGCTATACACGGAACGCTGTTTACCTTCCCACCAAGGTGGTACCTATTTATCTACTCGCATTTACATGCTTTCAAACTGCTAGGTTGGCAAGAGCTTGGACAAGCGACAGGAGCTCACTCCATCATGTGGATTCGATTTTGTGACTGCTGGCCTTCTGACCCTGCAGCATAGAGGCTTCTGCAGTTTAACCCACAGCGCCACCACGTCCCACACTTCTGAATAGACAGCACTGTAAATCTTTCAATCTGCTTTAGAATGTATATGACCTGTAACAGCTCTTACCTTCTTTGGAGACTGAATGTTCTTCCACAGCAGGTGGTGCCTACAGAAATAACATGAGTTTTTTTAAAAAATTGAATTAGTACTACTAACGTGCACAGAGAATACAAAAGGAAAGGACTCTTCCCTGAGAAACTTACAGTCCAAAATCCACTGTGGAAAAGGGGGAAGGGGAAACAGAGTAAACAGGAAGAGGATGTGCTCAATTCAGTTACATGTACTTTTAGGCTTAATCACAGCAGATAAGCCTTCCTCAGTCTATGTGCCTCAAACATATTGGACTAGAACTTGCAGCCACTAGCTTTGCTGACTGAAGATGATGGAAGTTATAACCCAGCGCTAGGAGTACAAAATCAGGATTCAAGAAGGCTGTAATACAGCATGACAACTAGAACACAGGTTTCTTCAGGAAGAAACTGGCTGCTTCAGCTAAAAGTCAGGGATAGAATAACAATATTTCTTTGTAGCATATGATGTGGTATGTTCACAGTGGCAGCTTCTTTTAAATTAAATCCACATGATTTCAAAGTTTATGTACTTCTGGACAGTGTGGCTGGGTCCTGTGTATCCTTACTGTAGCACAGAGGTCGTCAACTGCTGGTCCGCGGCCCATTGCCGGTCCCTGGCTTGACCCCGACCGGGCCGCGGAGACAGACCTCCTGCCGTCCCCCCCTCCCCCCGCACGCACTTGGAGACGGCGGAGGAGGGGGATAGCCAAGAGCCCGGGAGGCAAGAGCATGTCCGGGTGCTCTTCTGGCTGCTTTCCTCGGTGGAGGGGGGTCCCTCGCCCCTGCATTAAAGCGCCCCGCGCGCAAAGCAGCTGTGGGGAGGGAAGTGCATGCGGGGGTGGTCGGGAGGTCTGCCTTTGTGGCTGACAGCGGCAGCAGGGGCGAGCCCGAGCCGGGAGGCAAGAGCATGGCCGGGTGCTCTTCTGGCTGCTTTCATCCCGCCGGAAGCAGCGACGGAGGGGGATGGGAGTGGGCAAGACCTGGGAGGCAAGAGCATGGCGGGTGCTCTTCTGGCTGCTTTCCTCCCGGTGGTGGCGGCGGCGGGGGGTGGGAGTGAGCAAGACCCAGGAAGCCGTGAGGACAGACCTCTCCCCACCCCCCGCACGCACTCCCCTCTCGAGAGCTGCTTTGCACCCGCGCTTGTCAGCATGAGCGCTCCCTCGCCCCTGCATTAAAGCGCCCCGCGCGCAAAGCAGCTGTGGGGAGGGAAGTGCGTGCAGGGGTGGTTGGGAGGTCTCCCTTTGTGGCCCGACAAGGGCGGCAGGGGCGAGCCCGAGCCGGGAGGCAAGAGCATGGCCGGGTGCTCTTCTGGCTGCTTTCCTCCCGCCGGCGGCAGCGGAGGGGGGTGGGACCCAGGAGGCCATGAAGACATACGTCGCCCCACACAAACTCCCCTCCCAAGAGCTGCTTTGCATGCGCGTTTGTCAGCATGAGCCCTCGCCCCTGCATTCAAGCACCCCACGCGCAAAGCAGCTGTGGGGAGGGAAGTGCGTGCGGGGGTGGTTGGGAGGTCTGTCTTTGTGGCCCGACAGCGACGGCAGGGGTGAGCCAGAGCCGGGAGGCAAGAGCATGGCCGGGTGCTCTTCTGGTTGCTTTCCTCCCGGCGGCGGAGGGAGGTGAGAGTGGGCAAGACCCGGGAGGTCGTGAAGACAGACCTCTCCACGCCCCCCGTGCGCACTCCCCTCTCGAGAGCTGCTTTGCGCCTGCGCTTGCCAACATGAGCGCTCCCTCGCCCCTTCATTCAAGCGCCCCACGTGCAAAGCAGCTGTGGGGAGGGAAGTGCTTGTGGGAGTGGTCAGGTCTGCCTTTGTGGTTCGGAACAAGCCTTCCCTTCCATAGTGCATGCTGCCACTGCACTTTTCTTCTGACGTCCATCAGCAACAGGGCTTCCTGGCGAGCTGGAGAATTCCAGCCAAGTTGGAACCCGAAGTGGCGAGAAAGCAAAGGCTCCCAAACTGGAATATTCCCTCTCCCCCACTTTACTTCCTGGCGGCACAACACTGCAGAGAAGGAGGGAGACAAGGTGAAGTGGGGGTGGGCAGGAGAAAGAGAGCCACCGGCGCAGCTTCTCTTCCTTTTCTTGCTGTGCCACGGCAAGGTAAAGCGGTGGGTAGGGCAGACGAGCAAAGGCTCCTGTTGTGGGGTGGGGAAGGGAGAGGCCAGCAAGCCTTACCAAACCCCAGCAAGCTGTTCCCTTCTTATCTCTCCCCCCCAACCCTAAGGAGGGGCTCCTTGCCCCTGATGGTCTTCACCTACGTCGCGTTTGGAAAATAGCCCCACCCTTTCCCCCATGTAAACACTCCTTCACCCCTTCAAGCATGTGCCCGGGTGCAGGGGTGGGGTGGGCGCGCTGGTGGGCAGGCGCTCCTGCGCATGTGCGAAGCGGTGGGGGAACCCTTTCCCCAACCACTTTGCAAGTGTGTCAGAGAGCGCAAGCGCGAGGGGGTCGCCCCACCTCCCTCAGAAGCTCCACCGGTCCGCAGTACAAAAAACGTTGAGGAACACTGCTGTAGCAGAAAGATACATCCTTAAAGACATGAAGACTAAATGCCTACCACCCACCAATATTACTTCTCTGTTTTGCATGGAATGTGCATTTTACAAATTATTTTAATGTATAAGCCTAGCCCACAATTATGTTCTATGTGTTTTTCCAGTTGTCCTCTCCTCTCTTTATTCTGTTTATGAACCTTCAAGGATTTAGTATTTTTTAAAAGGGAGTTTGAGGCTAGATTTGAAGAAAGAGGTTACCTGGACAAGCATTTCAAGCAAATGGGCAACAAGAAGGAGCTGCCTAAGACAGGAGGAGACCTTCTACATAGCAGTGCTGAAGAAGCACACGGCCCCAACAAGGAGGGATCAGAGCAGAATGCTTCCAACCAGCTATTCTCAAAACTTTTTGCCATCACAGGCCCTTTGTGATTTGTGAGAAACTCTTATGCCTCCCCATCTCTTCCGTTCTCTACCATTCAACCTGTTCTTTTAATTTAAAAAATATACCCAATTCATAATTTAAAATTTTAAAAAATGAATATAAAAACTGAGTGAAAATGAATTTAAAAATAAGCACAATATTTTTTTTCTAATAATAAAACTGGAATATACCCTTAATGAACAGCAGAAACAAAACAGATGTAACAAAAAAAGTGGTGGGGCATCTCACAGAATCATGCCTTCTGTGGAATTTTTTCACATACCCCTTGCGATGCATGTCCCCCAGCTTGCGAACCAATGAACCACTGAGGAAATTCATCCCCCATCCTTTCTGTAGCAGATCTGCATCTCCTATCATTGAACATGTATTTTGTAACTTATTCAATACACACAGGAGACAGCATGTGTATTGAATGGGTGGAAAACCCAGCCATGCACACACAATTTAGCTGTTATGGCTTCTGGATGCCAGATGTGTTGTCTGGAGCCTCTAGGATAAGATAGACAGAAGCTAAACAAATACTGTAAAAACCAGAATATAAAGGATCCCACTGAAAGGAAACCGAGAGCCCAAGCAAATTAATGAACAGTCTCTGAACATATTTGCCTGTAATAAAAACAGGGAACTACAAGTCATTGAGAGCCTGGCTCTTTAAGAGAAAATGTAGGTCTCACTCTGTGCCACCTACGCCTTTACAACTGCCATGACTCAGTGTACCAAGTGGACACTTAAGCCGATTAATAGTTAAAACACAGCTTTTTAAACAGCTGGGAATGCTCAAAAAACATTCAATGTAACTGATGGATACAATGAACGCAGCTGGCAAAGCAGTTTATCAACTGATCAGAATTTGAAGTGCCCTTCATAGGATGTAAACAGGCATTTACATTTTCAGTTCCTCTGCTTACGTTTGTATGTTCTGAACAAACAAACAAATGCAACAGCTTGTTGGACCAAGAAGTCCCTTTTCTATATTTCTTAGCCTTACGCATGCTTGCGTATACATAACTTTCTCTTTTCTCAAAAGACACACCTCATTGCACAAAGCAGCAAAATAAAGTATAATTTTAGAAATGTGATTGTAGATTAGACTAGCCGCCGAGTTTTGGTAACTAGAGATGGGCACGAACCAACTGTCCAGCAGTTCGTGCCAGTCCGTTTATGGGACCAAATATGTGTTCAGCACTTCAAAGCCCCACCTCCTTCAGCAGGCATCCAATTGGAGGCAGAAGCCTGTATTCCCTGCCCTTCCTCCTCTGGGCACTGCCTCTGAGTGGGCACTTCCAGAGGAAGCAGGTCTTTGAAACATCAAACATTATTCGGCCTATAAACAACCCAGAACAAACCACAGAACCAGCGGTTCATGCCCATATCTGGTAGCAACTCATGGAAATGGGGGAAACGAGAGGATGACTAGATACACACGGCCAGATAAACCTTGTCTAGTTTGCTCTTGTTTGTGATGATAAGCGGCAGGAGTGGTGAAACCAGTATGGTCAAATTCTGATATTTCAGTGAAACAGATGAATGTGAAAAATGCATCATCAATACACTGCTTTAAAAAGGCTTCCAATTTCCTCCCCATACATGCTCGTGTTGCTTCCCCCATCTTCATACACTTCCACCACTGCTCCCAACAAGCCCATGAGAAACCTGAGTTCTTCATTTCATTTGCAAGCCAACTCTTCCTTTTCTCTCTGTTTTACATCAAAGGTGAGGAAACTTTGCCTCTCAGGATGTTTCAAACTGCAGCCCCTAAGAGTCTACGTACCAAAGGCCACGCTGAAATAGATCCGATGGGAAGTATAAGCCAAAGGATTCCCATCTGTTTTAATTGCTGGAACACAACTGCAAAATGTTGATTGTCTCTGATGCTGCTAAAGCAGGAGGGGTTAGGAACTTATGACACCCCCCCCCCAGAGGCTGTTGGTCTACAACTCTTTCCAGTCCAGACTATGCTGCCTACACTGGGCCAGGGCCAACTGCAGTTCCAAAACTACAACTCCCTTGCCCTTGTCTCCTGTAATGGCTTAGCCTTTAAGAAAAGAGATGGAAGTTTAAAAAAACGCCCTTACCGATTGAACAATAGCTTGGATATCGTTTTCATTACAGCAATAGGGACTGGTGTCAACCAGGAGATTGGTACTGCAAACAGAATACAATTGCAAACAACAGACGATAAACAACAGTACCACAAGATTTATGATAGGGTAGGTAAATAAAGGAGTTTAGTGGTGCCTCGCTTAACAATTGCCTCATTAAATGACGAAATCGTTTGACTATGAAGTTTTTGAGATTGCAAAACTATGTTTAGATAGGGAAATTTCACTTAATGATGATCGGTTCCCTGCTTTGGGAACCGATTTTTCACTAAACAACAATTTAGAAACAGCTGATCAGCGGTTCTAAAATGGCTGCCCACTGTGCAAAATGGCTCCCCACTGTGTTTTTAGGATGGATTCCCCGCTTTACAGGCAGCGAAAATGGCTGCCCCTATGGAGGATCTTCGCTGGATTGTGAGTTTTCAGCCCATTGGAATGCATTGAACCGGTTTAACTGCATTTCAATGGGCTTTTTCATTTCGCAAGACGATGTTTTCGTAAGACAGCAATTTTCGCGGAACGAATTAACATAGTCTTGCGAGGCACCACTGTACAAGAAAAAGAACTGCAGCCATCTAGCTGCAATAAATCTGATGTCCTCCAGGTTTGTTAAGATTACAGCTCTTAACCTCCCCAGTTAGAGATGATGAGAATTATAGTACAACCCATCTGGAGAGATGCAACTTGAAGAGTGCTGGTACAGAATGAGCAGTTCTCCTGCATCAACATACTATGGCAACATCCTGGTCATTTGCACATTCAAGACCAAGTTGTGTAAAAGGCTCTAGAACTACATTTAGTTATAACTCCAAGAATTGGAGGTGGAAAAAAAAACCAAATTTTCCAATAGCTGAAGAGGAAGCAGGCTCAATTTGTTCACCAACTCTTTGAATAGAGGGTTTCTGGCTCTGCCTGGCAATAGGTAAGCAATGTTTCCTCCTAATAGCTCAGCTTGTGGTTTTTAACACTTCTTGGCCTTGTCTTCCCTTCTCTCCACAAATGCCACATGCACAGGAAAGTAGGAGGGAAAAGAACATCTTTGTAGTTCTCCCAATCTTGGAGACATTAAAGATTCACAGCATCATCCTATGCATGTCCAATCAAAAATTAAATATCACTAAATTCAATAGTAGTTACTCTTAGTAAAACATCTATAATGAAGACTGAAGCCCAGCAATGCAATTCTAAGCATGTCTATTTAGATCTAAGGACCACTCCATTCCACATGACTTCCAGTAATATACCCACTTCCTCAGCAGCAAATTCTACTGAATTCGCTGGTACTTACTTCTAAGTAGACAGGCTAAAGGCTGCAATAGATTGCACAGTGACCTTTTCATTCCTTTTTTTATCAGTTATAAACTTTTGGTGAGCAAACTGTAACCAGGGGTGTAGAACCCAATCCATTTTTTTTAGGTGTCATCTATTGAGTTTTAATTAACAAGTAGTTCACAAGTAGTTCACTAGTGATCATAATTCTCAAAAAATCTAAATGCAGATTTACCAACAAAAATATGCAGAAGAGATCTTGAGCAACACACTGGATACCATAATAACAGGATAAAAGAAAACACAAGATCATCTAGCATTAATCCAGGATTTTGATTCTGATGTACCACTAAGTTAGATGCTTACCATTTTATTGCTCCTCCATTAGCCTTTTTGTGAACAAGAGCTTTGCAGTATTCATGGGTGGACTTAATGATTTCAAAAGCAAATGCCTAGTCAAGAAACAAAATTGAAATGTTTAACGCCCACATTAAAAGAGTCATCATCAGATGTTCTGATCTGCAAAACTCATGAACAACTTCAAATACACTCTGGTTATACAAACAACACATTCAACCGTAGCTTGGTACTTTCCAACTGAATTGCTAAGCCATTTCTAATCTTTTCCTTTTTTAAACATCATCTCTCTGAAACTAGTTCCAAAACCATCCACAAAGTTTCCAAATGCTGCTGGATTTACAGCACCCATTGACTGGAAGCAACCCAAGAGTGACGATGAATCCGTCATCGTAATGGACCCCTTTGAGCGTGGCAATGTTCCATGCAAGCCATGGGAACCAAGCCATACTCAGGGAAACAGTCAGTCCATTAGCATTCCCAGAACCATTTTGAGAAGTCTTTCCAAGCCAGTTCAAACAGAAAGCCAAGGAATTCAGTTCAGGATTTGGCTCTGCTTTAGGCAAAGCTTTTCAACATGTGCTTAATTTTAAAATGCCAGCTGTTTGGGCCCCAGCTCTCTCCAAATCTCACTCAAACAGTTGGAAAGTGTCTAATTAAGGCCAGCAGAAGAGCTGGGAATTCAGCTGAGGCCAAGAGCTTTTTTTCAAAACAGGGGGCAGAGGTTGAAGACCATCAAGAACACTGTTTTCCTAAAAGGATGAAACTTCAGGAACAGCAGCAGAGGAAAAGCTTCACCAGAAATGACAAGAAAGCTTATCTGGCATCCCCAGTTCTGGGAAAACTCAGTATTCCTGTGCAAAAAGTATTTCCCATGCATTTAGATTGAAGGTTTCCTATTGACTGGGCATAGGCAGCTCACACAGGGGAATGGGAACAGAGTGATGGGCCTGTAAAGTTTCCCAAGATCACAGCACATTCTTCAGTTCTAAAGTGCAGAAAGTGCCTATCACCTTGGAGAACTTTGCAAATACCAGCCGAGGAGCGAAAAAACAAGTTAGTGCACATCCCTCTTTGCAATTAGAAAACAGGAATTGAAAATTAATCTTTGCAAACCCTACAGGTACAGTTAAGTAAAGCCCTTGTTTATTATCTCAAGCAGAAAAAGACATTTTTCCAGTTTACTTTCATAAGCACAGGTGGATGATCCTCTGGCATGAGGAGAATCATCTTAGGCACCTTATGACCAAAATGTTCAGTCCAGCCCTATACTGGATAAGAAAGTGAATGCTTTGGCCATTTTTTAATGAAATGCAAACAGGAAATACCTGCATACACTTATAATTTCATTTTTAAAAGACCTGGGAGCTAGTTTTTTCTCTCTCTGACAAAATGAGTGTTTCTGGAAGTCTCCTGGAGCCAAAAATGGGATTTTAAAGCCAAAGAATTATAGTCATTTTAAAAATCGTCTTTATGGTGGGGCTCTGAAATATCCTTAGAGGCTATAAAAATGCAGCTTAAGGGCTATGTTGCCCACACCTGCTGTAGATGTGTAGTCCCCAAACATGAAGTCATCAGGTGTTGTTGGACTTCAAGTTCCCAGAAACCCCAACTGCTGGACAGCTGGCTGAGACATCTGTGAGCTGAAATCCAACACCTGGAGACTAGGTCTGGGTTTTATTTCTCCAGAACAATATTGAATGCAACACGTGTAAACTGCAATTGATCATGGAGGGTCGGCAAACACTGGATAGGCCATGAAAGAAGAATCTGAGATCACATTTTGGACTTTGGATAAAACATTGCAAACATAAGTAAGCTTTCGACCCTGTACAGGTCTGCATCAGACAGAGCACCACAAAGCTGTGGAGGGTGCAGAAGAAACACAGAAGTTCCAAAAGTCATGGCCAGATGTGCAGGCCAGATTCCTCTGTTAAAAAGAAGTTTCAATACAGAGGCTGCAGACTTGGCTCCGAGAGGCAGGTTTCAAATTCCAGCTCTGGTCGTGTGGCTTGGAGTGGCTCTCCAATCTTGTTTCTTCCACACCCAACCTTTTTTTCCCATTTGCATACCCCTTGGTAGCCCACTTCCGTGAATTGTTCCTTTCACATTAGCAAAATGTTTGCAATTAATATGGTTGCTGGACTCACAGGACTGACTGAGATGCTCGTTTATATATACACTGGTATGGGCGTGATGGAACTCAAATGTCTGCGAAGTGGAGGAAAGCTGAGCCTGTGAGGAGCACGCTAACAAGCATGCACAATGTACAGTTGTGCCTCGCTTAATGATTACCCCACATTACGACGAATCTGCTTAACGACGATGTTTTGTGATCGCAATTGTGATCGCAAAACGATGTTTTAAAAAGTTTTTTTCGTTTGAAAACGATCGGTTCCCTGCTTCGGAGACAGATGCTTCGCTTAACGACGATAAAAACAGCTGAACGTCAGGTTTTCAAAATGGCCGCCAGGTGCTTAAAACGGCTCCCTGCTGTGCTTAGGGATGGATTCGTCGCTATACAGGCACCGAAAATGGCCGCCGTATGGAGGATCTTCCCCTCTTAACTGATATATGATATTTGCTGGACAGTGAGTTTTTAGCCCATTGGAACGCATTGAACGGTTTTCAATGCGTTTCAATGGGCTTTTTAATTTCGCTTTACGATGTTTTCACTTAACAGCAATTTTCCTGGAACGGATTATCGTCGTTAAGCGAGGCACCACTGTAGTTGCATGTTCCTAACACAATGTGTAGTGAGGGACTCCCGACTAATCACCAAAATAACAAAGCAGGGGAATGGGGCTTTTCTTGAGATTAAATAACAAACAAAACCCGATCCACCACTCATCATGTTCAATTAATTTCACAACTTTTGACTTGTATTTTGTCTTACATTGTTGATACATGCACCTTTTCCTGCCATTATTAGACTTTTTAAAATCTATCTATCTATCTATCTATCTATCTATCTATCTATCTATCTATCTATCTATCTATCTATCTATCTATCTATCTATCTATACCTACCTACCTACCTACCTACCTACCTACCTACCTACCTACCTACCTACCTACCTACCTACCTACCTACCTACCTACCTACCTACCTACCTACCTACCTACCTACCTACCTACCTACCTACCTACCTACCTACCTACCGACCTACCACCATACACACATACCCCTAAATGAGCTGGTTTGAACCACTGGGGGTTTGTGTACCCCAATTTGGGAACCACTGTTCTATACTATCCACAACCCTGTAGTGTCAAGCTTGATGAAGACCTGTATAGGATCAAAAGCTAGCTTATGTTTGTGATTTTTCAATGCTCTAGTATCTATCATCTACCCTTGCTTTTGGAGTGTACACCAAAGCCACATATCATTTTCTCTCTTTTGTTAGCCCAATCATGCCCCTGCTCCAAATTTCACACAAAAGCACCTTTCTATACAGAGCACTACATGCTACCATGGTTCTATGGAGATGATTATTAATTTAAGCAAGTCCTTAGGAATACATTGAAAATAATTTTTTTTGCTACTCTTGAGATGAAAAAACAACAACCTCTACTGATGTGGTATTGCTGTCAGATAAACCTTCATCAAAATTCTTAACTAAAAGAAACATAAATGACGAAAACCTTCCCCTCTTAACTGATATATGCAGTAGTTATGTGCTATTGTGTTAAACTAAAGTGTTCAACATACTGGGTCATTTATACTCAAGTATCTCTCAGACAAAACATCATGTCTAGACCTTTCTGAGGTCAAGTATGACTCTTCTAGCTTTGTGTGTGTGTGTGTGTGTGTGTGTGTGTGAATACATTTTTTAAAAAAATCCCCCCACAATACATGGGCTCAGAGATTCCATGGTGAAGACCAAAATATCTACATCCATAGTACCAGAAACTGGAATATTTCATGTGCACTTCTGAAAAACATTTAATATACATTTATCTTCTCAGGAATCTTAGAATGCTTATTTTCTGGAATGAGATTTCAGCAGTTCTTCAGAAATGATTTCAGAGTTCATAAATCAGCAACAACCATTAGCCTCTTAAACCACTGCCTCTTAAAACAGAGATTCCTCACCTTGTCTTTAAATGTGCCATTGAAAGCAAACTGATTCTCCGGTTTTCCATCTGGGACTTTATATAATTTGAACCAGTCAACTGTTGCTTCAAGATAACCTGGTTTGAACTTCCTGACATCTTCAATATCTGTAATGAATTATTAAAAATAAACATGTATTCAGTAATTAGTGAGAGGTACCAATTTGGCTCCCAGTGTGGTGAAGTGAATAGAGTGACAGACTAGGACTCTGGAGAACAGGGCCTTAATCTCCTGTGACAGACTAGGACTCTGGAGAACAGGCCTTAATCTCCACTTCGCCATGGAAACTCACTGGGGGAGTGGAACTGGTAAAACCACTCCTTAAATATCTCACTTAACCTTGAAAGCCCTAATAGTGTCACTATAAATTGGTTCCAACTTGACGGCACAGAACACACATACCACTTTGGCCCCCAACCCCAGTTGTCAAAGCATGCATACAGGGACTCCCATTTGCCTACAAAAAGCCAGATCAAGGCTCTATAACATGAATACCTCATAGAAAGCAAAAGCAAAAGCCCTTCATTTTAATGAGCAAGTGTGTGTAGGTTTGCCTGAGACCCAAAAGTGTAAGGATTATAAATTAGGCTTGACTTAATAAGAGTTATCTATATAAAGATTTCTTTATTTGATTTCTAACCCGCCCATCTGGCCTAAAAGACCACTCTAGCTAGCTACCGTATTTTTCGCACCAAAAGACACTTTTTCCCCACAAAACAGGGGGTGGTGGAATGTCTGTGCGTCTTATGGAGCGAAGAAAACAGATTATATTTTCCTGTTTTCTTCTCCTAAAAAATTGGTGCGTCTTATGGAAAGGTGCGTCTTATGGAGCGAAAAATATGGTATATAACTCAGTGCAGAGACAGAGACTGGAAGTCTGATTCCCCAATATGTCTCCTGGAGAAAAGCCAGCCTGTGTGGGTTTGGCCAAGCTGCATAGTCCCAGGGTGTCCCCAGAAGGGAATGGTATACCCATTTCTGTGTATCCTCTGTGTAGAAAATCCTGGAAAGGGTTGCCATAAGTCAGAATTGACAACACACAATTATTATTTATATAAAGATGCTAAGCAGAAATGTTAACCCACCCAGCTATATAGCATTTAGCAACTGTCCAGGTTTTTAAAGATCTCTGGATTACCGACCCTGTGTTTGTAACAAAAAATGTGGCGTGTTGCCACAGAAGTAACTTTTTATATTGACTGGTTTTCTAAAATAAGCCTGGAAAATTCTGTTTTTCTCATTGCTCAGTCTTTTCATTAACACCAGAATCTTTAGTAGGCATCTGAAAAGCTAACAGCGTCCCACCACTGCAAAATGGTCCCTTTCTGACAAGAGAGAAAAAAAATCACCCTCCACCACATCTTGATAGATGTGGTGCAATGTAATACAGTCGTGCCCTGCTTGACGATTACCCCATTTAACCATGAATCTGCTTCACGATGATGTTTTTGCAATCGCAAAAGCGATCACAAAATGTTATTTGAATGGTTTTTTTTTCACTTAGCAATGATCAGTTCCCTGCTTAGGGAACCGATTTTTCGCTAAACGATGTTTTTTCAACAGCTGACCGGCGGTTTTCAAAATGGCCGCTGGCTCTCAAAATGCCCCCCCCCCCCCGCTGTTTTTAGGAGGCATTTTTCGCAAGACAGGCACCGGAAAATGGCTGCCCTATGGAAGATCTTCACTTTACGATGAGGTATTTCGCCCATTAGAACGCATTAGCCGGTTTCTAATGCCTTCTAATGGGCTTTTTAATTTTGCTTGATGAGGATTTTGCTTAACAGCGATTTCAACGGCATGGATAATCCTTGTCAGGCGAGGCACCACTGTAGTTGTTTCGGTGCAATGTAATTGTGCATCACCCATTTCATTAACTTAGGGTATGCCTAATGCAACTGGACACCATCAAGTCGATCATGAGCTATGGTGATCCTTCTCAGGGCTTCCCAGATGTAAAATACTCAGATGTAGCTTACCATTCCCTTTTTCTGGTGGTTCTCTGTGACAGTGCAGCTTGCCCAAGACACATAGCCCGGCATTTCTCCAGGGAGCCATAGCAGGGAACCAAACTCCCAAGAGCTGGCTCAGCTGCTCCAACTCAGGATGTGGTCCCACCAGCAAAATGTCCCACTGTGGTTACCCGACTTTTAATAGCATTCTTGTCGGGCTTTGAAGTCACATGGCATTCATTCACAATGTGTTTCTCGGTCTGACAGATGTTAATTGACACACAATTTTTTTAAAGTAAAAGCATTTTACAAGGACTTTAAAAAGTTGCAATAAGATCATTCACACACACAGCATTGCAACTTTTTTTTTTAAAAAAAGATCCACAACAAAAAAAAGTAGAAGCTTCTGGCAGATCGAGAAATGATCTGCAATTAGCACGCTTGCTGGACTGGCTAATGGCCATGCATCATGTGACTGCAAATTTAAATGGCGAAATCAAAGGGGGAGAACTGGAAAACATTTTATTGGTGTGACCACAGCCTCAGTGAGCCGTCCAGTCAGCAAAGCTGAATGCAGTCTTGTTAAAACTAAAAGATACGGCAGAAATGAATTGCTACTCACTGCCAGAAAACCAGAAGCAGAAAGGTATGCACCTTTTTACCGAGATGTGGCCTGCAGAGAATTTGGGGGGGGGTGTGAACTCCCCACCCTGAGACATATGCCACCTGCTGTCCTCGTTCTTCACTGTTTCACAGCACAACTAGCGGTGATAAGACTAAATATAAAGAGTACAGTCAGGCAACCTCTGCTTTAGTAAGCCAAGTACTGGATCACACCAAAGAGGACATGTACAAATAAAGGCTTTATTGGCCAAACCCAATTCAAAATATACATCTTCAAAAACACTTCTCTAGCATGCTGTATAAGCAAATGGATCACACAGGGATGCAGGTACCGCCCTGGAACTAAAGCCAACCTAGAGGGGAAGCTGCCAATGCCAAGCAAACATATCCCAAAAAGGTCTGTGGGAAGAAGACGCATGTTTTCAATGATAATTTAAAAACAGTCACAGGAAACAGCAGCTTCAGTCCATATAAAGGCAATTGCTGTATTTTTGCATTGGGGGAAAAATGTCACATTAATCTATTTATTTCTGAATGCTTCCTCAAATTCAGTACACAGCATTCGTCAATCTCCCTAGTTATTTTGCATACAAAAACCACAACAGAGTTGTGTGTGTAAAACCAAACATAATAGGCACAGCAGCTAGGTTACTGGTCCTGTTTTCTCAGCTGAACCATTGGTTACATACCTTAGAAGAGAAAACTAATACAGTGGTGCCTTTCATTGCGATGTTAATTCATTTCGCAAAAATCGCTGTTGAGCGAAAACGTCACTATGCGATATTGAAAAGCCCATAGAAACGCATTAAAACCTGACTAATGCGTTCCTAGGGGCTTAAAACTCACAGTTCAGCGAAGATCATCCATAGCGGGGCCATTTTCGGTGCCTTTTAAGCAAGGAATCCGCCCCAGAAAACAGCGGGCAGCCATTTTGTTTACCCGGCAGCCATTTTGAAACCGCCAATCAGCTGTGCGAAAATGGTCGCTTTGCAATGATCGGTTCCCGAAGCAGTGAACCAATCATCGCAAAGCGAACTTCCCCCATAGGGAACATCGCAAAGTGATCGCTTTTGCGATCACAAAAAGTTCGTTGCAAAGCAATTTCGTCGCTAAATGGAGCGCTCGCTAAGCGAGGCACCACTGTAATTATGGCTTATTTGTGATATACCTCCTCCAAGGAGTTCAGGACAGCAAAAATATAAGCATTATCTTATTTTCTTTTCAAAACAACCCTATGCGGTAGGTTTAGCCACAGGGTCACACGCTGTTTTTCATGGCTGAAAGGGAATTAGAACCTACATTTCCACAATTTAGATCCAATTTGCCACTCCAAATATGGGCAATCTCCACCTCCTAATCCTAAATACCAAATCCACATCCAAAGTATCAGGTTCAATATCCAGCAAAGGCCTTCTGCCTTCCCCTGGCAGTCTGCTGGGCCTACCAAAGAGAAAAGGGAGATATGGCCAAGAGAAAGTACATTCCCACTCACTTGATTCTGGCCATGTCCACTGTTACATTAACTGTGATGTCATCTGCCCATCATTGCTATGGTTGTTTGTCATCTGCCAATAGCGTGACGGGAGGTGGGACATAAGAGGGTGGAGCTAGGGTATTTAAGGGGGAGTGAATGAGGTGTGAGTCAGATAGGGACTTGATAGGGTCTGGTTAGGGACTTAGGGAGTTAGGGCTTGTACATGTTGTGTAGTACTGTGCTATATATAGAGAGAGGGAAGGTCTGAGAGAGAGGATGTGTGTGGGTACTTTATTATACTGATTGCCTTTTATTTTAATTATTATAGTGATTTACCATTCCTTTTGTTATTATCAATAAAGATAAGTATTTATTTTAAAAATCATACTTTTATTTGAAGAGTTTTATGGGGGAATGGTTGATGGCAGCGTGAATAAAGTGAGGGTGTGAGAGTGACGTGGCAACTCCTTTGTGACGTGAGAGGAGGCTGTCTCATCCACCTATACTGCCTTTGATCCGGCTCATCATCAGAATGGATCTGTTTATTATGTGCTGAAGACTTAACTTCTAGGTACTTTTCCTAAGGCAGACAGAAACGTAAGACAGACGGGCTCACGGCACCACCAATGGGGCTGTCGTGACCTCACGTTCCTCCCCAGTTGTCTCGTCACTCTCTGCTCATGCCAATCCCATGGGACCCAATCATGTGTATCCAATAAGGCAAGAAAAGCCCCCAGTGCCAAGACTGCAAGCTGCGGCTCCATGTTAACCATGTATCTTACCAATTGCTTACTCTTTTTTTCCAAGATGAATTCTGCTTGCTTCCCTCTTTATGAAAGTAAATCCAATTTGAGTCCCACAGCTGCTTTCAAACACTCAAGTGTATTCTACTCTTCCATGTAGGGGAGCACAAGTGTACTCTTCCACTTGATTCTATCACCTCAGCATACACAAAGGGACTTGGTTGTACTCCAGGTGTCTCTTAGACATTTAGGCATACTGCAAAGTCCTGGCATAGAAAATTTTGTTTGTTGGGATGCCAGACATATATTAGGAGAGCACTATGTGTCGATTTTCTTTAAGTATCTTAAAGACTTGATTAAGTACTGTATCTACTGACTTCAAGAACTTATCAAGGCTCCCAAAGTGATGTACAACAAAATCACAATACAAAGAAAGAAGAGAAGCAGAACATTATTTAGAAAGAAATTAAACACACACACACACACCTAGACAAGCTGTCAATTGCTGTCCCTCATCGCAGAACAGTCATCAGTAACATGGACTTTAGGCTCCAAAAGAAGAAGACCACTTAAGGATGCTCAAAAGCTTCCCTACAAGATGCCAGCTGCCCCTCTTGGAATGGATCCAACCTCTTTCTGTCTCAGACACAAAGACACAACTGCACAGACACAACCGCACCCTGCCGCTTTCTCAGCACTTGGAGCACAACAATGTACTAGGCATGGATTCAATTTAAATATGCAGTTATTCAAAGGCAAATGAAGTGACAAATAAAAAAATAGAGATAAATTAAACAAGAAATGCTCAAATATTTATCCAATCCCATGAAAAAGTGTTGTTGTAAGCTTGCTGTGATTGTAGGAATAAACTGGAAACCCAAAGCAAGCACATTTGGAGATTCTGGAACAAGATACTTTTTAAATGAACCAGATTGCTTTACGCAAGTTAAAAATATAACTATCCAAGTATGCATTTATTTTTACTTGCATCTGTCACAGCTTTATATCTTTGAACCCTTCATGTGTTTGAACATCCCAGGAGCTGGATAAACCCATAAGAAAGGACAAAAATGTTCTCCTCTTACTGCTCAAAATGATTACCGACTGGTTAGCATTCATACCAGACTGAAGGCTATCCCACAGATGTGTTCATTATTAGATTTACAAGTGCTTCACAGCTGCATTGGATTCAAATGACCCAATTTCTTATGAACGATTCCCACATGTTCACAAGCTAGCAACCCTTTGCTCTGCTATCATTTCCTCAACTTTTTTTTTCTGTCAGAGAAATAATTTTCTAATATCTGGCCCTCTTCACCAACAATGAAAATGAAGAAAGAGAAACTAACCCAGATGTGTACTGAGAGGCTCAGAACCCATAAGACAAATTCAGAATTGGTGTCTGAGCCATATTCTTATAGTCTTATTGGCAAGCCAGTTGATTTTGGAATGCCTGAAACTTGATGATTCATCCACTGCTACATCTGGCTGCCAAGTGTGGAAGAAGGATCCCAAATAAGAATGCTTACATCATGCTCAAAAAACCTTACATGGAATATTTGTTAAACAGACAGCTGGACTTGTCATCAGAAAGGTTGTGCTGAATCAGGTCTACCTAGTTTAGCATCTTATTTCCCCAGTGACAAACAAGAGACATCTGGAAAGCCAACAAATGGACATGATATCAGAGCTCAAAAATTTTAATTTTTTGCTTGTAGTCCCAAGAATCTTCTAACCTGCATGGCCAAGAGTTCGGATGATTCTGGGAACTGTAGTCCAAAAGGAACTTTTCAAAGCTCTGCATTGTTACTTCCGAGTTAGTGGTACTAATTGGAACAATGCCTCTGAAATCTGGAGGCAGCTGATAGAAACCATAGCTAGTAGCCTTTAACAGCCTCGTCCTCCATGAATTTCTCCAATGAACTTCAAAAAGGTTCGTTCGTTTCGTTCGTTTAGTCGTGTCCGACTCTTCATAACCCCATGGACCAGAGCACGCCAGGCCCTCCTATCTTCCACTGCCTCCCGGAGTTTGGTCAAATTCATGTTGGTAGCTTCAGTGACACTGTCCAACCATCTCATCCTCTGTCGTCCCCTTCTCCTCTTGCCTTCACACTTTCCCAACATTAAGGTCTTTTCCAGGGAGTCTTCTCTTCTCATGAGATGGCCAAAGTATTGGAGCCTCAGCTTCAGGATCTGTCCTTCCAGTGAGCACTCAGGGTTGATTTCCTTTAGAATGGATAGGTTTGTTCTCCTTGCAGTCCAGGGGACTCTCAAAAGGTAGCTATCCCCAACTCCACAAAAATGAATTCAGTATACTGTCTATATTCTGTGTGACGAAATACTCTACTATCTCTATCAGACAACTGGTTTTAGATATCATAGAAGGAAGGAGATAACCCTTTCTATCCACTTTCCCTATACTATTCACAGTATAAATTTCAGTCACATTATACCCATTATTCACTCATTTTCTAAGCCAATCAAGTGATTATATAGGAGTAGGGGAAGAACAGCTGAAGAAGAACACAGGTTAGGACAAATATGCAGACCACGTTTCATGTTCATTGACACCAAATTTCTACCAAAACTGAACTTTTCTGAGAGGACTGTCCCATTTCCAACTTCAACATAAGGACCAGAGAGGGGCCCAAATTAATTTGGAACCCTTTCTATGAATTTGTCATGCAGCAGCACAGCTGTCATGTGGACCCTCTCCCCACTCCCCGGACCAGCGGAACCATTCAAGTTTCATCAGGTACCATCAGCGTCCTTTGTCACTGGCAGTGCACCAATCTGGGAAAGAGCTTGACCATCCCATCCCCACCTCCTCCAACAGCCGACCACTCTGATGAGATGAGGCTTCTCCTTGTGTAGCTGAAGAGTGGTCGGCTGCTGGAGGAGGTGGGGACGGGGCCAGCCGATCTCCTTCCCAGATTAGTCCACTGCTGGAGATGAAAGACCCTGACGACATGCAACAAAATTGAGTCGTTCTGCCAGTCCACGGGGTGGAGAGAGGGTCTATGCAGCAGCTGTGCTGCCACACAACAAAATTCACAGAAAGGGTTCTGAATTAATTTGGGCCCATCTCTAATGAGGACATGACGGAATACTCTTCCAAATTGACCCAGAAACCTCACTTAGGAAACAAGGAAATCAACAGATGTTTGAGTTCCTTTTTCTCTACCTCCCACATTAGAGTGGATGCATTAAGCTAATCTCATAGCATGAGAAGATTGTCTTTTATGGACTACAGTGACCAGAATTCCCCCACCCAGCATGGCCAACCCCAAACTGTTTGTGAGATTTTGGAAGCTGTAGTCCAAACGAGTAGCTTTTACAAGCACTTCAAAGATATGACTTTTTCAGGATGAACAGAGCGAGGATATGTGGATAAGGAAGTATCCTTCTGGTTAGGGTGAAAAAATAGCTTATAAAAATTAGGTGAAAATTCTCTAAATTGTCAATAGTCACACAATTAAAACTCTAGTTGACAATTTACATTATACAGTGCTATAGGTTCAGATAGCCAGAAGCAACTCGGACCAAAACCACTCAAGAGACCTATGCCAATTGTGAAACTCTACAAGCGTGATGTAAAGGTTAGACTGTTGGGAGATCGGGGTCCAAAACCTCAGTCAACCACCAAATCCACTGGGTGACTTTAGACCAGTCACTCTCTCTCACAATCTGAATTACCTTTCAGAGTTTTGGGGACAATAAAGTATAGAGGAGAGCCACCTACAGCATTGTGATATCAATGGATGAAATGTAAGATGTAGAAAATAAAATTTAAAATAAGTGGGAATAGATTACACTTGTCAATATTTGTACAGCTTAACAGGAAGTTTAAAATGCTTACCGTGGATTTTCTGCGAGTCTGGATCATTAGCACTGATAGCAATGATCTTCCAGTCGGTTTCTCCCTCATCAATCAGGCCTAGAAGTCCAAGGACTTTCACCTGAACAACCTCACCAGTACGGCGAATCTTAAAAAAGAAAAAAAGAAAAAAGATGAACTTCTACATCACAGCAGATTCAAGCCAAAGTCCCTACTGAGACATGAAATTCACTGGAATACTCGGCCCAATCACTCTCTCATCCTGTCAAGATTCTTGAGAGGGCCTGGCCTCAAACTCCCACATAACCATGAAGCACACCAGAGGACAGTAGTTCAGTTTTATGTTCTCAGCTTGATTTACCCTCATGGGCACCATGAGGATAAAGTGGAGAGGAGGAGAGCCATTTACATTGCCAGTGCAACAAATAAACATATGAATAAATGAAGTGAGGAACAACATGGCCATTTCTGTTGCCACGGACTCACTGACGGAGAGGCAAGAAATAAATGTAAATAAAAATAATAAAAAGTCACATCTTGTTCCCAAATTGAACTACTTTTCAGGCCTCTTTCTCCTGGATCTACTTACTTTCTTTAGAGCAGCAAAAAGAAAAGTAGTCCTATGGATTTTCTTGCATTGGATATTCTCATAATCACACAGTTTTCTCTCTCCACTCCAAAGCAAAAAAGAAACAACTGAAACACTGAACTCTAGAATAAGTCTTGTTAGTAATTAGGACAAACCTGTGAACCAATTTCACAGACGTCAATGGGATCATTGTCACCACAGCATCCTGTATGGTCATCTTTACAGCTGGGATCTTCCCAAGTCTGTTGAAAGAAAAAGAAAAACACCTAAAACCAAACTTGTGGTTATCATTATCTGCCTTGTATGAACTTTTGTAATTTATTTATATTCTGAGAATCCAGGCCCAGGTCTTGAGTGCATTAGATTTGTTACTGACTCTAACACCCCCTGAGACAGTGTTGGCAGTGTGATGTCACAATGAAGTAGTTCTGGGATGGGGAATATGTGGCCCCTCTGATTTTGAGACTCCAAGTGTTCCCACTGTCACTTCTCATTAGCTCTGCTGGCTAAAACTGACACAGTTGCTACTAGAGACGGGGGGTATTCGTATTTGTATACGGACACCCTTGCACAGGTGGACATAGTGAGTCCACTCACCCGTCCGCTACTGCAGCTAGCTACGCGCTCCCTTCCTATTGGTCTGGAGCTCACGGTCAACTAGCCACTCCTGGCAGGAGGTAGGACTAGCCTCCCTGCCAGGTTGAAGAGTAGATAATCAACAGCGAGCTCCAGAGAGATAGGAAGGGAGTGCGGAGCCAGTGGAAGGGTGAGTGGACAAATATGAATACCCCAACCTCTAGTTGCTACCCAACAACATCAGAAAGGTCACACATGCCTCCTCACTCCCAGCATAATGAGAGCACCCTATGAGGTAAATCAGAGAAAAACATTCTCCATGTCTATTTTCTTCACCACCATGAATAATCATGTACACCTCTATCATGTCTCCTCATTTTTTTCAAATTTAACCAGCCCAAATATTGCAGTATTATCTGCCTTGTATGAACTTTTGTAATTCTCCATGTCTATTTTCTTCACAACCATGCATAATCGTGTACACCTCTATCATGTCTTCCCATTTTTCTCAAATTTAACCAGCCCAAAAATTGCAGTCTTTCCTCAAAGGGCCTCAAAGGGCTGCTGCTCCAGCCCACTGATCATTTGGGCTGATCATTTGAACATCTGTAAGTCCAAACATCTGGAGGTCAGCAGCTGCCCAGTCATCTACAACAGTGATCCCCAACCTTGGGTCTCCAGATGTTCTTGGACTAAAACTCCCAGAAGCCTTCACCACCACCTCTGTTGGCCGGGATTTCTGAGAGTTGAAGTCCAAGAACATCTGGAGGCCCAAGGTTGGGGATCACTGATCTACAACATGTTTGGATTACTGGCGTAGCCCAAGAACAGGAAGTAGGACTGTGCTACACCAAAAGTCCAGCCCACTGATCATTTGGGCTGATCATCTGAGCACCTGTAAGTCCAAACATCTGGAGGTTAGCAGCTGCCCAGCCATCTACAACATGCTTGGACTACTGGCGTAGCCAGGAAGTAGGACTGTGCTACACCAAAATATCTCCTCTTACCTTACTCTGAACCCGGATTAGGACCTCTGAGCTTCATAAAGGATAACAGCAGACTGTGTGACAGTTTTGCCCAAAAGATGTGTTTGGTTTTTAAATACAATTTTTCCTCTAAATGTATGGATAATACCACTACACCATACCTCCCCAGGCCCAAGAAACAGGCCTACCAAATGCCTCTGCTTCCCTTGCAATCATTTTGCATTCAAAATATAGGCAGGATTTATGGGGAGACTTTGCTGAGAAGACACAAAAACATTCTCCAGTTTTTGACAAATGAAAACCAAAGTTACATTACCTGAGGGAAGGCACCATAATTCCAAATATAGCCCTTATGGGGAAAGATATTTGCCACGTATCGCAGCTTGCCTTTCTTTACATCTTGCTTAATGGGATTCAACGGCTCCTTGGTGGCAATCTAAGCGCATTGTGAAACAGAAAGTGGGGGCCGGGGAAGAAAAGATTCCTATAAAATGGTTCAACTAATTGTTCCCATAACAAACAACAACTCAACAAAGCTCTAGGTTTTATATTTAGATTTATTACCAGCCCCAGCCCCTAAGGTGGCGGGAAATGGGAAAACAAAAACATAACACTTAAAACATTTGTAAGCAGATAAAAATATGAAGCATCTAGCGTGCATATTTTTAAACAGAAATAGCAGCAGGGGGCAATAATTATTGGGATCGCAGCACATGCTGAGGGCCACTAGGAGACATTGTTCCAATTCAAAGAGAAGCTCTAAAGGAGTATTTTTAAGCAGGACCGCAAGAGGGATGGGGGGGAAAGAGCTGATCTCTCTCCACTCTACTCGCAGAGAGTGATAATTTTAAGTCCCTCTGTTCATGCTCTTGAATGATAACTAGAGAGGGGCAAGAACCGATTTGTCCCACTTCATAAAGGCAGCAGCAGAGGTGCTGCTGCTCACCTCCCTCACCTCTTCTGGCTCAATTAGCCATTCACCAGGCCCAGCATGCTAGCTTTCTGAATGGATGGTTCAACAACTACATCCATCCATCCATCCATCCACCCACCCACCTACCCACCTACCTGCTATTTCTTTGACCTTCCTCCAACTATATATATATGGGGACGTGGTGGCGCTGTGGGCTAAACCACAGAAGCCTGTGCTGCAGAATCAGAAGACCAGCAGTCGTAAGATCAAATCCACGCAACGGAGTGAGCTCCCGTCGCTTGTCCTAGCTCCCGCCAACCTAGCGGTTCGAAAGCATACAAATGCAAGTAGAGCAATAGGGGCCACCTGGGTGGGAAGGTAACAGTGTTCTGTGTCTAAGTCGCACTGGCCATGTGACCACAGAAGATTGTCTTCGGACAAAACACTGGCTCTATGGCTTGGAAACGGGGATGAGCACCGCCCCCTAGAGTCGAACACGACTAGACAAAAATTGTCAAGGGGAACCTTTACCTTTACCCCAACTATATGGCTGTGTCACTCCATCCACTGTGGGTTCTTTTTTTCTGATGCATTATTACAGTGGACCCTCTACTTAAGGAATTAATCCGTATTGGAACGGTGGCTGCAAGTCGAAAAGTCTGTAGGTCGAATCTCCATTGACCTACAATGCATTGAAAACTGATTAATCCCATAACTGGCAGTTTTTATTCTATTTTTGTTCCATTTTGGTTTTTTTCTGGTCTGTAGATCGATTCTCCGGCTGTAACTCGAATCTAAATTTTGCGGCCAGAGAAGTCTGTAACTCGAAAAGTCTGTAAGTCGAGCCGTCTGTAAGTCGAGGGTTCACTGTACTCTCTCTAGTGACTAGCAAATTCATCTGGTGATCGCCAACTGGATAACAGTTAAAAACTGGTCACTCAGAAATGAAAGAGGTGACAGCTTTCTTGAGGGAATCCTGAAAAATGGAGTACCCCAGAAGAATGCATACTACTGATGTGTACCATGTACAGAAGCAGTCCATGCTGCAACATACAATTCCCTCTAGGAGTCAAGAGCGTTTGTCAGTTTGATGGGAACTACAGATAGCCACCCCTCAAGAATATGAAGCTTTTTCATATTTAGGGGACATTCTAGAGGTTGAGAGATCCACCCCTTTGTAAATTCTGAGTACTTAAAGAATATTTATTTCAGTTCTGCCTAAGAAAGGTGGGAACCGGAAATATCATCTTTAGGTTTACTGCTATACCACCCTAAACATGTGTCCTGTCTGATTCTGGAAGGTAAGGCGAACTAGACCTGCTTAGTACTTGAATGGAAATACCAGGCTCTGCTCCTTTGGCTACCAGCCAGGGCTCAGCAAAAATTCTGCCCCAAATCCTAAATGACTGCTGCCAGTCAGGCTTGACAATATTAGGTAAGATGAGCTAATGTTCTGGCTCAGTATAAGCAGCTTCTTATGCTCATACCTCTAAAGCTAAGAGAAGGTTCGTAGATCGGACAAATCCAAAATCTGGAAAAACAACAGAAAGGGAACAAGACAACGCGAGGAGAGATAGAATTAACCAACTCTGCTCTTTTGGGCAGAGGGTGTGACTGGATGGCTAGAACCCTTTCTGGAAGAATTCTGATGGAGCAAAGGATACACCAAAGCATTTCATTGCATGTTTCATTTGCATCATTATTATTACTTTAACTATTTTGCCTATTTTTTAAGTTACCTCCATTTTAGCATTTGTCCAGCGAGGTACTTCTACAATCATATTAAACAGAATCTGGAGAGAGAAGAAAAAAGGGAACGACAGCCTGGATGAGCCACAAGCAGCTGTTAAAATGGACCCTGACAATGCTGAGCAATCATAATCAGGTACATGGGCAAGACTGGTAGGAAGAGTCAAGATTCAAGATTCTGACAGTAGGAAAAGGAAACCTTTCACCCAGCTGAATGTGGAAATATGTCCCAGACTACATAGGAAGCTTTCCATATATTTCTTCCTTTCTACGAGGGCCCAGTGGCTAGACTTGGTGAGCAAGGCTAATTGTGAATCATCACTGCTGGGAGCAAGATGGATCTAACTCAATGGCCAAAATCCTGTTGTTTAGTGTACTAAATTGCACCGGAGTAGGCTCATTAAATCAGTGGGGACTTAGTGAATCAACTCCTCTGTAAGTTCACTTTATTCAAATAGGTCTATTCTAGATGCAAACTAATTTAGGGAATCAAGTTGAAACAACAGTAAACCCATTTGGATCTATGGAACTTACAGACAAGTTAACTTACCAAATCCCCACTGACTGTAAACCCATTTGGATCTATGGAACTTACAGTTAACTTAACAAATCTCCACTGATTCAATGGGCCTAGTTTAGTGCAACTTACAGTGCTAAGCAACAAGATTTCAACCAGTGGATCTTAACCTTTGGCCTTCCACGTTTTCGAGTTCAGCTTCCAGAAGCACCAGCAAACATAGTGAATGGTCAGTAAACCTGTCAGAAGTTTTGGTCCACTCCGTATTGGTTAACAAAAGACTCTCTGCTGTGGTTCTTAGGTAGGTGAGGAGGCAGATGCACTAAGCCAGTTTGCACACGTGCCCTCGAGAACTGGATTGAAGACTATTTAGAGCAGAGGTCTCCCAACTTTTCAGTATGAGGTCCACATGCAAAGACATGCACTAAGCCAGTTTGCACACGTGCCCTTGAGAACTGGATTGAAGACTCTTTATTTAGAGCAGAGGTCTCCAAACTTTTCAGTATGAGGGCCACATCAAATATTTTACACATTTTTGAGGGCCGAAGGAGGGAAGGGGGACCCAAGCGATCCCCCGCTGTCTTTGCAACCCTGATTTCATGGGTCTACTTTATTTGGGATTAAAAACTGGATTTAGTCAACCATCTCAATGTCCACACAAAGTATTGATATTTATCTTCACCATTGCAACAAGAGAACACAGGATTGAGGCTAGATCTGACTTTTCCTTGGTACCAATAGATTCTTCAGGCCCACCACCTACTTTCAGAGTTCCCAAAGAAACACTAAAGGCTAGTACTACATATAGACTAATTCAGGAATGAACACATTTATTATTTATGACAGAATTTTGTCTGAAAGAGAAAAGATGCCCACTGGTGGGGAATTGTCTTTAAACAGAATGTGGCCATGCATCTTACAAGCATGGCTAAGAAGGTGTACTATTTACACCTGCAATACACAGTGGTCTCTTCCAGACACTAGACCAGCAGCCTCATCAAAACCAGCTTTTGTGAACTGAATCAAGCCTCACCCTACATGATAGAAAGAGCAAAATACATCCACAGGAAGGACCAAAATTCTTTAACTAACCTCTTTAACTAACCCCCCAGACAACTCATGCACCTATTTTCCCTGGCCTCATTTCAATGCAAGGACACTAACAAGAGATCTTCAATTATTTATTGGTTCTAAAGCAATGCGCCCTTGCCCAATCAGGTAAAACATGGAAAACAATATCAAAAAAAGTTCTGCCATCATACCTCATTTTCACTGATCTTTGATTTCTTTGCAGGAATCTCCATATCCTGTGCCAGAAAAGATAAACACTAGTTATTTGCAAGGAGGCAAACACAAAATGTGGCAATGAAAATGGCAATCATTTAATTGGGAACTACCAAGTGCAACATGTAGTGCCTAGGAAAAATATCAGGCTCTAACTCTCTTTTACACTTACTTTGGAGTAAATTCTACTGAACTTACCTCCAAAAGAACATGCATAGGATCAAGCCACATATACAGTGGTACCTCGCTACATGACGACCGTGCAAAACGAAGAATCTGCATGACGATGAGGTTTTGCGATCGCTATACAGTTATTCCAATGGGCAATTTCCTCTGGACGATGTTTGGGTCCCTGCTTCGCAAACCGATTTTCGCAAGATGACGATTTTGCCACTGATCGGCGCTTCGCAAAACGAGTTTTTTCGGGATCGATGCTTCGCAGCGCAGCCATTTTAATAGCTGATCAGTGCTTCGCAAAATGGCTTCCCTATGGGCGATCTTCGCAAAACGACGACGATTTTTCCCCATTAAAATGCATTAAACAGGTTTCAATGCACTCCAATGGGGAAACGGTTTTCGCAAGACGATGTTTTCGCTAAACATCGATTTCTATGGAACGGATTATTGTCGTCGTCATGTGGGGCACCACTGTATATATTTGATATCCTGTTGACCAGCATTGATGTGATTTATTATCCAACAGCTCCCCGAGTGCTGCAAATTGCCCACCTGTGCTATACAGCCTTATACAGGCAATAAACACCATTGCTCATTTTCCTTTCCCTGCATATTCTATGATCTACATCTTTTTAACTAGCTTCAACATTCTAATTTATGACTAGTGTAAATGGAATACTTCTCCCACTGTTTGCACCATCAACATGGTGCAGCATTTACGTTTTAATCTTTTTGCAAACACCCTGGGAATACAATTGAAAGCCAATATAAAATATTTACAATCAACGAAATAAATAAGTTCCCTGGATTGTCACTGTTGGTGCTTTCAGACACATGCTGGTGTATTAAAGCCTATTAAAGAGACAAAAACACAGAACTGTTCTCTGCTTGTGAAGCAGAAAGCTTCTTTATACTAAGCTGAAAAAGCATCATGAGGACAGCCCTGCAAGATCAAACCAACAACCTCTCTCGTTCAATGTGCTGCCCGCAGAGTGGCCAACCATTTGCCTATTGGAAGCCCACAGGCAGGGCATGGATCCAACTGCACTGTGCCTCTCGCATTCCCTTTCAGCTGGTAAACAGAAGCATCCTACCTCTGTAACCAGAGACAGCATACAGTCATCGTAATTACTCTTTTTTTTATTGCCTCTTGGACACTTGGCCAGGCTGGCTGGGAGAGTCTAGGACTTCCAGACAAAAAAAAAGTTACTGCTTGAAAGGTCTCCTAGCAGCCATTGACAGCCACTGTCCATCATGAATTTGTCAGATCTTAAAGCTATCCAAGCTGGCAGCCATCACTATAATGTGTGATAGGGGAATCCCACACTTGAACTATGCACTAGGTCACTGTTTTCCAATGCCAGATGTTTTTGGACTACAACTGCTAGAAATCATGGCCAGTACAGCTAGGGGTGAAGGCTTCTGGGAGTTTTAGTCTAGGAACATCTGGGGACCCGAGGTTGGGAAGCACTGCATGAAAATGCACTACCCTTTGTTTGTCCTGAATGCCCCACCACTGAGCCTCATTGTTTTGAAAATGAAACAAAGAAAGCACCACCAACCCTGCTCCTAATGAATAGTTTATATAGCTTAGTATTGTTGACTCTAACTTGCAATTTCCCAGGATTCTGTCCATAGACCCTGGAGATCAAATATGGGACCTTGTGGACAGAAGGCATGTGCTCCACATCACTGATCTACAGCCTCTACTGATTCAGACCGATTCTACTGGAACCAGTGGCAGTGCACTCTCCAGATGGTGGGGCGGAACTTGGAAATAACTGCATGAAAACCTCTGCTCCTAACCAAGTGCATTCTTTTCCACAAAATAGTCATCACATTCCGAATGAATCTTTTTCATTGTTCACCCTAACAGCAGGCCAAACCTTTCAGAAATATCATGAGTTTGCTGATGAAAGTCATAATATAAGTTTCATCATAAACTAATTGGATCTGTGTCTATGCTTTTTTTAAAAACCAAAAGTGACACTAAATTAGAGCATGCAATTTAAACTCTCTGCCACTGTCCCAAAAGGAGATGTGTTGTGACTGGCAGATGGTTCCTAAATCACCTACATGTTTGGAACAGAGACCAGTGCTGGAGATGAAAGGATATTGGAATCAGCACTCTTGTCATTTTTTATTGGAAAATGGAGAGGGCCAAGGGCTGTGTAAAACTAAAACAGCTCTGGCTGCAGAATCTTGAAGTCATCAACAACATCTAGCATCGAGATGATACAGTGTTACTAGCTAACAACTTTGATGATTTCCAAAGGTTACTCTATAAAGGCATTGAAGTAAGAGTAATGAATGAATGTTGAGAAAACCAAGTACTGTACATGGTAAACAGTAAAAAGCAAGCAGCCAGGAAAAAATGAAATTAAAAATACAAAACGAATCTGTGGAACATGTTGAGAAATGTAAATGTTTACAGCTGCCTCATTCAAATTCAGAATAGTGGTGATAATCTCTTACTTCTGGGGAGAGAAAAATTAGAAGACTAAAGGTGTACCACTCTGTACCCACACAAGTTAATACATGGTATTATGAAATAGGCCTCCTCCCAAGATGCCTCTCCCAAAGAGATACATTTTCTCACTTGGTTAAGACCTAATTGTTTATCTGGGTATTTATATATCAGGCTAATGGCTGTTGCTGTTAATATGACTTCCATTTATCTGTGTTATTAGTCATTTACCTTTTGGATGTGATTGCTGGTTGTTTTTAATACTCTTAGTGAAGCCATATATTCTATGAAGGACAAGATGTACATAGAACACAATGTGCTTGCCTGTTTGCGAACACAACAAATATTTAACGACAACAGGAAACAAGTTCTAGAAGCTGCCCTTGGAACTTCTTATTGTTCTGAGAAATGGAAAGTATACAAATCAAAATTCCATTAGAATAGGCACAAGGAACCAACCAAAACCACATGGATTCAATGGTCCTATTCTAGTGCAATTAACTGCTAAGCAATAGGATTTGGGCCAATGTGTTCATATTAGAAATGGCTAATAACAGCATGAATACAGAGCATCAGTTGCATGGGAAGGGAAGTTTTTCCATTATATTAGTGATAGGTATGACCAATAATCCAAAACACAAGAGAACTGCAAATATTTCCCAGCTCGCAAACAACCAGCTAAAAGAGCATTTCCTATATAAGAAATCAGTGGTATCTGTTCATAAGTACCATAATCTAAAGACTAGGCCCTAGCATTTGGTTGGCTGGGGAGGCCTTCCAGTGTTTACTGAGGGGAGGGCCACATGTGTGTGTGGCACATACGCACACAGGGTAGTATATCTAGTAGCAACAGGAAAACTGCAACATCCCATATGGGATAAGATAAAGGTTTTTGTCACTCCTGGAGCTACTAATGGGTGTTCCAAAACAGTGCCACCCACTCCCTGGTGCCCAGCTGACTGGCAGGGAAAACTGGATGGAGAGCCAAAGCTCAAAAATAAATCACTGTCAGGAAAATATAAGTATCATATCTCCTCACTACTCTGGTGCAAACGTCCCTAACTTCTGCCCACAGGTCATGCGCCCTGGCCTGCTGGTTCAAGGCCATTTTGGTCCCAATATCTCCATGTCTAAAAACATAACAATTTGCTTTGAAGTCTGCTTTGGAAAGTGGACAATTTGAGACATCATCCTGATATAAAAAGAACACCTGAACAAGTTTAGCTTGAAAAGGATTAAACCTGGTTCTAGTAACCTGATGGGGTCCAACTCAAGAAAAGTAGATAGAAACCTCAGCTTTCATTATCTTTGCTGACCTAAATATTAGACAGTGTTTAAAAATGGAACACCAATCCTCTTTTTAAAAAATCCTTAGCAAACTTCAACTTCCAAGATCAACAACAACACATGTGTTAATTTATAAGTAATTACCTCATTGGGTCCAACACAGAGAGGAATGTCATGAAACGGAGAAATGTATTTTCCCTTTGGATTCCCTACAAGATTAAACAAAATGTTATAAGCAAACATGCACGCACATAAACTGCTAACTAATTATGGATACAAAAGAGTTTGCAATTTATGGCATGGTTTGGTGAATTGGAGTGCAGGGGCTGGGAATTCAAATCCCCACTGTAAACTCCAAGGAGTCAGTTGAAATTACCTGGCGCGTTTGTGGCTAATGAGTTTTGCAACCTGTTAGCTGTGTAACCAAGGCCAAGTTGCATAACCCCTGGGTACCATTAGATGGACCGGTACATCACTTCTAAGAACTTTATAGCTTAAATCCTGTTGTACAGCTCCATTTGCACAATAAAAATGACATCACTGGAAGTAGCACATTGACCCTGCTCAAAGGCTTCCTTTGGAAATTTCATGAAATGCGTGGCAACAAAGTTAAATGAACCCTGAAATCACATGTAGAAGCCTTTAATCAGCAATAATCTGCAAGCATTCTTAGACATGGGCACTTACTGCAGTTTGGCAGTTCAGTAGGGTCTGGCAGACTGGGCCTACAGGTGTCGTGCAGATGCCCCAGGTTCTGTGCCTCCACCTCCTCCCATGGGCACCCACCCAGAAGAGGAGGCCCAGCATGGAAGCCCACCGTGCTCCTTCTGACGAGGCGCCAGCAAGAGAAGACTAGGCACAGAATCCAGGGTGTTTGCATAACACCTATGGGCCTGATCGGTCAAACCACACTGAACACATCTGAACCACATCTCTAAACATCACTGCTGCACAGGTAGACCCAGTCCAACAGGATTATGGCCTCTATCTAGAAACCCCTGGGTTGCCATAAATCAGACTTATCTCAGTTAGTTAGTTATTCTGCTTGCTTGGCTATAATATATGTAACAATTATATTGGGATGATTAAAGCCAAAAGGCATCAGGAAACCAGTTGGATTCATTAGTCTGCTGGGGTGGACCATCCAAATTGGTCCCCCACTCCTGCAGAGGCTGTGAGTTCCATTAAGTCTTAAACCCTAATACTATAGGTAGTGATCTGTCCATGACAATGGAACTGTAGAGAGCTCCTCCACACCCAGACCACCACTAGCTTGCCCAGTACAGAAGACTACGGATAGGGAAATCAGAGTGCTACATTGTTTTTATTATGTATTGACAATTGTCTAAATATTTAACTTGCAAGATTTTTGAACGGCTACATTTTCCCTATAAGATGCAGGAAAACTTCACATTATAGAAAACAGCCTTGTGCCATGTTAGACCATTAATCTTTCTACCCATAACCCTTTTTTTCCCACCTGCAGCTCTCCAGAATCTCTCTCTCTGGGTCCTTCACAACCCTGCAGTCTCTAATGAAGCTGAGCAAAGATGAATCTGGGGTCTCTTGCATCTACTCTGCCTGCTCTGTCACTAATCTATGGTCTCTGACTTTCTCAATGGATTTTGCCCACATTTTGAGCGTTTTTTAATGTTACCTTTGGGGCCTGTTTAATTTTCTAGATACCTCACCAACCCTCACCCCAAATTGGTAGGACCAGTGCCAACAGTCATCCTGGCTAGGGGAGTCAGGACACTGTAATCAAAAAATAAAGTAACTTTGCCAAGCTCTGCTTTCTTGCCACTGCTACTATTGTGCACATTTTCTACAAGTGCACAACACGGACAGTGCAAAAAGCAGATACTGGAATGCACAGCTACAGGCTCAATTGTACATAAAGCCCACTGCAATTAATTCTGTACACACTGGCAGAAGATTTAACCACACAATATGTAAGCTTGCCAGCAACATTATGGACTTTAGCAGAGCTTTTATAAAATATTACATGTATTTTCACATGTGGTCATCCAGTCCTGCTTATTTCAAGAAACTCTTCTACTTGGGTTTTCTGCATGAAATCTTGGACTTCTATCCCAAAATCCTGTACTGACAGCACCATTTCTCAAAATATGTATTACAATGGCACCTTTCAGTATTATTTTTATGGTATCTATAAGTTGGGAACTATCATTGGCCAAACTTCCGCAGCACAGATATGCTCAACAAAATACATGCAAGGATCACATATGGCAGTCCTCACAAGGGTTCAAACTGCACCTACACTAACCCTTCCTGGAGATGTCAGTCCCACATCAAGAGACCGAGTCATATTCCTGGTTGCATTTCAGTCATGTGACTGAGACTGAGTTGCAGCTTGTTAATTAGTGGCACTTCACTGTAATTTACACAACTGCACCTATATTAGTGCAAATTCCCACCAGAATTGTGGCTTGTGTATTTTTCTATATTTCATTTAAATGATGGTTTACATTCAACAAGTTCAAGGTGGCATATACCTTTCCTTTACTTCACAGCCATTACAAACCTGTACAGTAGATCAGGTGGAGAAAGACAGTGTGACTAGTCAAAAATCATCTAGGGACTAAAAACCAGTAGTATGTTACACCTAGAGTACAGTCACTAAATCAATGACACTTGCAGAGGAGTATGCTCACCAAACCCCAATGATCCAGTGGGCCTACTCTAGTTACAACTTATTACTTGCTTTCAGCCAGTAGAATTTCACGGTTCAGAGGGAGCTAAAACCTGGATGGACCTTCCCTGTCTTACCTTCCACTACAATGCTATATTCCATCCCAGGATAGATGTTGTGTGTATAAATCATAAGAGGCTACTCACAACTTTCACTAACTAGGAACTTGATTAGTATACCTTAGGATCCACAGCCTGGAATAAGGGCAAATGTTTATGGCGCAGTGACTCCTGATCCGAAACTAAACCATACTGTTTTCAGGCAAAGTTCGATCCTCCTAGCCCAGAGGATCAAAACTGCCCACGGACAGTTCTGAACAACAAAATCATTTATAGCTTTTTGTCTAAAGTTGATCAGTTGCTTATCTTTAACATACCATAAAAAAACCCTCTTTAGTTATATTTGTGAAGATTAACAAGTTTAAAATTAAAATAATCATAGCATCACTGTTTCATTTTATTTTTAAGTAAAGTTTGTTCGGCCCCAAACACAGTTCAGATTTTTCATGTGCCCCCACTATAGAAATTAATTGCCCACCCCTGTCCTAGCCCTTGGCTGCGGAACCCTCATTTCTCCGGGATACTTTTAGTGCCACAATGTGCAGACTTCCAGTCACTGACCACGACAACCTCCATTTATGTCGAAGCTTGCAGTCTCCGACGTCCATATATACTGTATTTCAATACAGGGGCGGGTCGTCCCTAAGTCCCGCCCCAGAGCGCTATACAGTATTTCTGTGTAAACGCCGATCCGACCGCGGCGTATCTTCTCAGGGAACGCAAGCCCCGCCTTTAGAACGCCGAGAAATGACGTAACAAAGGCGAGCAAACGCTCCGCGTTCCAAAGGCTTCCCCGGGGGGGGGGGCGGGGGCGTTCGGAGGCTGTTGCTTCGCGCGTGGCTCCTCCCGGGCAGGTACTTACTAAAGTAGAGGCGGTAATCGGGCGAGTGGAGCTGCCCGCGCTGTTCCGTGCCGTACTGAGCCATCAGGCTGCTCTGCCAGCGGCAGCCCCCGGACCGCGGCTCCAGAAGCCGCGCGCGGGGGACGCTTTCCTTGCAGGCCAAGCGGCAGCGCTGAGCCGCCGTCCGCAGCCAGAGCAGCCGAGCCAAAGCCGACCCCGCGCGCATGCCGATGCCTTCCGCTCTTGCGAAGCCGTCCTTCCTCTTGGCGGCAAGGGTGGAGTTTGAGCATGCTCAGCTCGCCCGCTTGAAGCCCGAACGGCCGCTCGCCCTCAGCTTTGTTTACTCTTGAGGTGAACCAGAGGAGGCGGGCAGAGAGTCAAAAAAAAGGGTCGGGCATCAGGAAGCCGGCCCTGGTGCAACAGATCCAGTGGCCAGTTGGAAAACGAGGCCTGGGAGGCTACTTTTCTCGTAGTTCCGTGGAAGGGCCGGCTTCAGCAGACGTTCCTGCTGACATTCCTGTTAGAAGCTGCAGGAGCTTTAGCATAAATAGAAAACCGGTCTGTTCTTCACTTCGACAGCATGCGTTTCTTCCAGATCGCCTTTTTTATATGAGAAACAGCGAGGCGTAGCAAGGCGTTAGGCTGGGATCTGGGAAATCCAAATTCTAGGGCAACTGAGCCATGAAACATGTGGATTGGGGGCCAAATAGGCTTGGTGCCTCTGATACTAGCAGTAGCGGGTAGCCGCCATAAATTAGTTGCTGTTGACTTTTAACCCAAAGTTGTTTTTTTAAAGTTAGCATTAAGTGTGTGTGTGGTTGCTGGGGGTAAATTGCATCAATGGGAGAATTACCACAGGATCCAGTTTCTTCTGTAAAAACAGCTCAAGATGCAATCAATCCTATGCACTGCTATTTTATAACAGCTACTGCGAGGGTTCAATATGTACCGGAGCTATTCCTGGCTCTTTTGCACGAAAGACTTCAGTCCAGGATTGCTCTTTCAACAATTTATTGTGTCTTGAACAAATAAACTAGTGCCCTTAACCATGTCTGTGTCCTTGTCTCCTGTCAACGGGACATTCAGGGGTTTCCATTTTTAAACAACAAAGGGGTTGCCATACCTAGAGTTCCACAGACCCGGTTGTCTGGAAAGGTCCAGTCTCTTAACGTGGTGGCCAGCAGACCAGGCAACAAGGGCACAGACTCATTTCAGAGAAGGTCGTCTCGGAGGGCATTCCCCGGCTGATCCAATGTTTCCCAGACTTTCTCAGCTCCTCTTGTCTTCATTGCCAGAACTCTCCATTCACTTCTCTTTAGCCTGTCCTCCTCACCTCTTTCCCTCTCCTCTTTAATCTTCCTCCTCCACTCTTTTGCCTGTTTCTCCCCAGTAAGAGGGAATAGCGGACCACCTCCGATAGCCGGCCTCCTCCCTTGGTACTCTGATCCTTGGTCCATATCCACTCCTAACCCAGAGGCAAGGATCCCATTTATCAGTCCAGGGATCCTTGGTCCGTATCCACTCCCAACCCAGAGGCAAGGGCTCCTCTCTTTTTATAACTTCCACATGCCTTGACTCTCTGCTTTCCTCCATCTTGCTTCCCGCCTTTTTTTGTTCCTCTCTCACTAATTCCCATCCCCCCTCATACTCTGGATCAATGTCTCCAGTTCCTTCCCCTTCAGGTACTTTCCTCCATCTTGCTTCCCGCCTTTTTTGTTCCTCACTCACTAATTCCCACCCACCCCCATACTCTGGATCGATGTCTCCAGTTCCTTCCCCTTAGGGTGTTTATTCTGCGCTCCCATCTGAACAATCTGTGATTCGCCTTTCTCCTCAGGCCTATTCTCTGGGTCAAGGATGGACAGCGCTCCAGCGAGTGATGCCTCTGACTCGCTTCCCATATCACAGCTACTAAATGACATTAGCTACTAATTGCAGCAGATTACCCGTTGTGGTATAATGGACAGAAATTCCAGTTTATCTTTTGCTGGCATCAGTTTACATTTAGAAATATTTACTCATATTACTCAACCAAAGGACATAGCCAGGAGGCTAAAAGGGAACCAGTCAGACCAGTTCCAGACTAGCCCCTTAACTCTGTCCAGGACTCTTTTTCAAAAACAAAAAACAAAACAAAACTGGTGGAACCACAGTAACTCCTCAATGAGGCTCATCATGTTCTCAAGAGGATAACTGCTAGCTAATATCAGCTGAATGGAAGAGGACAGGATGATTGATGAGCATTAGCAGAACTTTTTAAAATTACTTTTTTGTGCTATGCTGGGAGATTCTAATACTAATTTTTTTCAAGCACTATTATAAATGTCCAGATTATGTAGACTAAATCAGTGCTGGAATCAGAAAACATCTATGTGTAAATCAAGACTACAGCAATAAATCCTTGAACCAAAACAACTGCTAAGTACAGTGGTGCCTCAACTTATGAACTTACAGTGCACCCTCGACTTACAGACGGCTTGACTTACAGATTTTTCGAGTTACAGACTTCTCTGGCTGCAAAATTTAGGTTTGATTTGCAGCTGGAGAATCAACTTACAGACCAGAAAAAAACCAAAATGGAACAAAAATGGCCAGTTATGGATTAATCGGTTTTCAATGCATTGTAGGTCAATGGAGACTCGACCTACAGACTTTTCGACCTGCAGCCACCATTCCAATACGGATTAATTTTGGAAGTAGAGGGTCCACTGTAATCCATTCCAGAAGATGGTCGTAAATCAAAGCATCATTTCCCATAAGAATGCACTGAAATGTGATTAATCTGTTCTGACTGGAAAAAAAATCAACAACAAAAAACCACTGCAAGACCCATCAGGAATGTGATTAATCCATTCCAGCGGAAGAAGAAAAAAACCCAGAAAGCAAACAAACCCTGCAAGACCCATCAGAAATTGGGGTGGGGGGGGAAGAAACCCAAAAAGCAAAAGTTGAAGCAAAATTTTGCAGCCAGAACTGGTCATAACTCAAAATGGTCATAAGTTGGGATGTTCATAAGTCGAGGCACCACTATCTGTAAAGATTCTCAGTCATCCAGGTGAGGACTGAAGAAGCTACTTGGATGAGTAGCAAAATGTTTCAACCTAATAGGAAAGAAGTCCAGTTGCCATGACTCAGCGTCCAGATAACTGCTAAGAACTATCATGTGACTAACTGAACCATGAGTATTGTGATTTCTTGTGAGGAGCCTGAAAGTATGGACAAGAAGCAGGGATCATTTTGGGATTTAATCCTAGATATTTTAATTTGAAATTGACTGTTGCTGGATGACAGGGATCTGAGGCACAGATACGGCCATAACACAGCATTTTAAAGTACAGTAGCATTTATTTTGGTAGATTATGCACACAGAACTCTTTTGTTGGTTCAGACCATCACCTGTTCTGCACAATTCTCTCAAATGCAGTTTTGCAGGGGGGTTTTTTACATAGAAAAACAAAACATAACAACACAGTTTTAACACTGACTGATTTCACGAAAGGACCTTTTCACTAAGTTATAACATCAGACGTGTCTTTACAAGCTCTGCCAATAAAATGCCCCATCAGTTTTTTGATGTTATTCAGCTAATTCTCAGAAAGAAAAAAACTCATCAGTTTGCCTTTCTTGACTGTTTGGTTTGAAAATCTGATCACCTTCTTCCAATGTAAACAGAACATACTCATTTTATATATATAAATTCAGGCATGTTCTATTAAACTGAAGCAAGGCAAAACAAGATCCTCCTTTTTTGAATTCTCTGCAGGGTCTCTGATGATCATTGAGGACATATAACTTTATTAAATCCATCTTTTACAGTAACCTTTCAACCACAGAATACAGTGTCTTGAAGCAACCAGTCTCAAAAGAGAAGGTTTGGTTTTAAATATCTTCTTCTCCCAAATAACTACAACTTTCAGTGGGAATATGCCTGGAAAAATCCACCATACTACCAACCATCTTATTGTTCTTTATTTGCTGAAATTTAGTTTCACAGTGCATTTCTTGAGCATGTGGGTCCGCATTCTGTCTTATCGTACATATTAAATAGATGCATCCATTTTTATCATTTTGTGTGGCAGCTGCTGATGAGTTATCAAACTTGTATCTAAGAACAGCTGCTAAAATACTGAGGCATCCCCCCCCTTCTTTTTTTCTGCACAGAAAAGAAAACGAGGATAAAGAGAGAGCAAAATTCCAGGCTTGTCATCTTCCCACTCCGACTCTACACCAATTGCCAGATCCTAATTTTAGCTCTATGCCTTGAATAGTCTTACTTGCTCATTGCTGCATTAGAACAAGCCAAAGAGCTTCCCCTCCCATTTTTTTTTCAGGCTGTTTGGTAACCCTCCACACATCTGATCTGAAATGTATAGAGTAAAATGAATCTCAAATAACTCGGCTACTGGTATTCAGCATGTTTTGAAGTTTTGTAATTCAAAAGTGCTTAGTACTAACTCTGGCTGATGTTTCAGACCACACACAACTGTTAAAAGCTTCAATATTATAACTGGACACATAAACTACACAGCAGTTGTTTCCTAATTTTACTAGCTTGTTCTGCTATGAGAAGCTTCTGATAATGCTGATGATTGTCTAATAAATGTGAGAGGTGTGTGGCTGGCTATGCCTGGATTTCTTCATGTTAATTGTTAGCAAGCAGTATGTAAATGTCACTTTTATTTTTCTGGTTATCTTGCAGTTAAAAACAGTTCATTGGTGCAGCGTTCAAAGTCCTCAGCAACGCAATCGTTCAGTTGGTTGGTAGTGTTTTGTTTTGTTTTTTAATGACTTTTTCCACCTGACTAATCTTTTCCATAGAAGTTTTATTGAAGCTGGTGGCTTCTCAGAAAGGGCTGGTTGGTAGACATGTCTTTAATGTGAGCTTCTTGCAAAGCTCCAGAGGTTAGAAAAGGCTGTTACGAGTGACTGATATTCAGAGGCTGATGGCAGGGTTACTGTGTATGACTGATCATATGTCTCTGAAGGTGGTCTCTTATCCAGGTGCTAACGACATGCCAACTAGTCCGTTGAATGGCACTTCTGTCTTGATTACGTACATGCTGAAACTTCTGTTCCTGATCCTGTCTCCTTTGAAAACCAGCTCCAGCACAGACTTTAAGGAGGCTGTCCAGAAGATTTATGGTAGCTGTATCCTTTGAACTCTGCCTTCAAATCAAGCACATCCATGACACAGTGGAAATGAGAGCGATCCTTCAACCACAGTTATACCTCCATGTTTCTTGGTTATTTCTGTACCATTATTGCAGGACAGAATGAGAGACAGAACTGGAGTGTAATTAATAAAAAACAGTTTAAGAATATTTAATATCTTTTTTAAAAAA